AAATATATATAAAAAAATAAAAATAAAAAGTGGGGCAATTTTACTTACAAATATCAAGACAAATATTTTCATTAGTGAGAGACGCATATGGACTACTTACTTGTAGTTCAACTCTTCGTCTTTATTTTTAAAATGTGGTGGGTAAATGAAATATGACAAATTAATTTAGGTATATAGTTTATGGTTGGAGTACAGAGAAAACCTGTGATGACTGGCCAAGAACAGAGGCCCACTGGAAATTCACTGCATCTTTCAAATACAAAATACTAAAAACTCTTGTGGTCTGTGTTGTCAAGATGGTTCTACTAGTGAATAGGAACTTTTAGAAGCTGTTAAAACAGCAGTTCAGAAACTTCCTCTAAGACTGTGAGGCAGCTTTCCAATTGGCTGTAAATAATATTAAACATTAGAACTTTTCCCCATAAATTCTGCAATGGACTATAAGAGTTAATGCCAAAGACCACAGATAATTTTGAAAGCCAGCATTCAGCACCATTAACATACTGATTTATAAGTTTATACACAGGATTCCTATAAAAACAATCAGAGATTATTTCTCTTTCTCTCCCACTCTGATTTTCTTTTTAATACTTAGAGGATGAATTCTGGGAATACAGAAAAACTACTTTTTGTTTAAGTCTATGCTCTTTAAAGACCTGCCTGAGTCATAATGTAGCTTAAACTATCACAAGCCAGTAGCTACAGTGTCCTTGGTTGCCACAGTTGGGGGGAGAATGAACAGTTGAAAGGAACGCAAGAAATACTTTGAGCTAAGGAATGGAAACACGAGACCGAATATGGGCCCACAGCCACACCCTCTTCTTACCCTCAAAATTTCTCTGGAAATGTAAGCTATCCAGTCTTCTTTGAGGGTGTTCCCCTTGGTGTTCTTCACAAGGTCTGTAATGGAACCAGCCCCACAGAACTCCATAACAAGCTGTAGGTTAGAAGACACACTGTGACTAACACACATCTACTGGCAGGCAGTCAAGAGTACATCCCCACGTACATACGGATTTCAGTGTATGTACCCCAGAAGCTGGAAAGTGGAGGCTAACCCCACCTTTTCCAAGGACCTGAACACACCATTTAACCATTATTTCACCATCCCATTTACTCACTATGTGCATGTGATCTAGGACACGGAGTTTCTGATACTGCACAGCACACCCCAGTACAGAGGTTCTGTGTTTCTCCTCGTAAAAGTTCATGAGCATGGGAGGGCCATTTTTTTTCTTAATCAATGCCCAGAAATTTGATATAAACACTCTCTTTCATTTGCTAGGGTCAAAGATGGTCTATTTTTTCCCACATTATGATCTTCAAATTACTTTATATGAGCTGGATTTAATACAAATGCTAAATGCTACCTTTAAACAGTATATACTTTATTCACTTTCTAATACCTAAATGTTTGAACAATATAAGTATATTTTGAAAGTACCTAGAAAATAAATTGAACTACTCTAAAAATTGTTAACTGATTAGATTTGGGCAATGGAAATTAATTTTCTTAATTTTACCTTCCTGTCTTGTAAGTTCAACATCTTTCACATGCTGGTATAATAATCACAGACCTCTGCCATCATCTTGAATATAAATTTTTTCAATAAGAAGTATGGTTCAATGTGTCAATTCTAGAAATTTCCCTAGAATTTACAGCTTTTAATTGACTATTATTATTAATATAATTAAATTACTGGAAGAATTTTGTTTTCTTGCAATTTGTATCTCACTTCCAGATGATAAAGATGCATTTCACTTCAATTTCAGTATTAATGTCCATAAATAAAATTTTATTGTATTGCCTCCTTTATTTTCAATCTCTTATTTTCCTTTCTATTTTGTGTTACTTGGTTCCATTCCTTTTTTTAAATGTGCTTTTATACTCCTGAAGTACAAAGTTAATTCTTTCTGTGCAATGTAGAATCAATGTGAATCAACATTCTATACACCTTCAACCAAGAAGGCCACAGAAGATGTGAGACACTACCTATTTTCCTTTGCTTTTCTCTATCCTCCCTCTGGAAAGTCCTTAACCTCCTTATATCACAACCAGAGAAGAGACCCAAAAAAACTCTCTAAGAAGTATTTGCTTACCCAGAGCTGGTCATCATGTCCTGGAGGGCTCTTTTTAATAAAAGCACCATAATATGTTGCAATATTTCTATGATGAGAATATTTCTTCAGCATATTTATCTCCAGTTTGATTTCTTCCTCTTCATCCTGAAGAATAAATAAAACAAGTGAGTTAGGAATAATATGATGACTTTAGTTTCTTAATACACAAACAACAAAATTTCCAGTCCAAGCAAGGAAAATATAATACATTCACTTTATTCTCATGCCAAGAATTAGCAACCTTAAGGGAATCTGAAGTATAATCACTCTAAAAAGAAACACAGACTATAAAAGCTAAAGATAAATACAAGCAGCAGCGTGGCAGAGAGCATATACTGCCCAGCTCTTCCACTATGTGACTTCACCAAATTGGCCTGTCTTCCCTAGGTCTCAATTTGCTCATCTGTACGGATGGGAGATTAACAGGGGACTGATGAATACTGTTTCAATTATTTACTAGGATAGGCTGCTTCTTTTCCAATTGATTTGTGCTGTAAATCATCTGGCACCCCTGAGGTTCACCTCTAACAACTCTACACAGCAGCATCACCCTCTGGCAAGTGCAGTCCCTGGGTGGATGGTGTGCTTAGTGAGAATCTAACATAGAGAGAAACTCATGTGAGTTCAATGAGCCCCAGAAGTAAAACATGACTTTGTGATAACAGGTTGTGTGTGTGGCTCCTCACTCAGTGTCTTGTTTTATTTTAAAAAGAGGAGCAGTGGGAGAAATGATGAGTTTGTTTGATGGGGAGTGGGTGGAGGACTGAGGAAAACAGACAATACAGGTCTGGAAAATAAAAATTAGTTGCCCTGTGAATGCTAAGAGCTTCCAGTCTCCATCATCTCTCACACAAGCCCCTGAAGAACAGTCAGTTTCTTGTTATATTCACAAACCAAAAGAAGGTTCTGCCAAATTTTCTTCAAAGAATTATGCTGAAGAAGAGGGGAAAACCAAATTATAAAGTGAGAAAGAAGCAAAAATCTATAGAAAAGAGAAAATAAAAGCCCTGGTTCAAAAAGTTGTGTTTGAGAGATAATAAAGAAAATTCCCAAGAAAAATCTGATAACGAAATCTCTAGAAGTCCATCTACCATACTTCCCTAATTTTCCACAATGACACACTCATTTCACTTGTAACTGATGTGCTTCCTCTTTCAGGGAAGGCTCAGTGTTGCTGAGCAGTTTACATGAACCAGTGCTCCGAGAAACAAGTGCATGTGATCCCACACATGCAGTGTGCGGGGAATAAGGACAGGTGTTCACAGGGAGAAAAGTGGAATGTGCACACGCCCACAGGAGAAACCTACCATTGCCCTTTCCATCTCCACAAACCATTCACAGGGTCTCACAGACCTGAAGTAAGTTTGGTTTGCAAATATGATAGGCTAATATAAAAACTGCATGTTATAAACTAACGTAACCTCAATTTTAAAATAGCAAAAATCTTTACAAAAGAAATGTCATAATTCGTTTCAGCCTTCCCCAGGACTGTGCAATATCTGGCATATTTACTCTGTACTAATATTTAATGAAACAAAGGTAGTAAAAATGAAAACAATGACAAACTATAAACCGGAGACATTTTGTGGGGGTGGAAGGGAGAATGGGATCAGAACCTGGGTGGGAAGAGTGCACCGGACTATGGTGATTGCACACGGGTGAACTGGTGGTGGGAAGCCCACGGGGATTACAACCGAGATGAAAAAATACACAAAATGAAGAATGATGTAAAAAATAAAAAATATTTTTTGAAAAGAAATAAATCAGTAGAGTCTTGTTTATTTTTTTTCTTTCAATTCATTTTTATTCTTTCTAAAGCATCAGTTGTATCCTCCTATTTTCTTTTGATGTTTTGTTGTATTCTGCCTAGTTTCTGGACTAAAACTCTCATTCAATCCCTTTATATTTCATTTTTTATAAAAAACTAAAACAATGAGTTCTACTTTGAGTGTAGCTTTGGCTTTCCCTCATTTGTTATGATATACTCTGATTCCTTGGTTACTGTTTTTTTTAATTTAAAAAAAGATTTACTTATTCATACAGAACTGGGGTACAGGCCAGAGGTGCAGGGGTGGTGAGAGGATTCACCAGAGACAGAGTGGGGGGCAGAACAGGCCAACTGACAAAGCAGCAGTGGGCGGCTCAGGAGAGGTCTGCCGCGCCATGTGGATCACCTCCGGGGCAGGGATCAAACTCATGCTGAAGTGGCTGCAGCTTCTTAGTGCTGTGCTTTAAACTGCAGCACCACCCGGGAAGGCTCTGCTATTGATTTTTAAGCAGCAAATTTTGAAATTGTTTCTAAGTGACCCCATTTTTTAGAAAATTTCGGGGTTTTTTTATTAATAGTATAATTGTATTACGGTGAGTTTGGGAAATTTACTGAGAACATTTATTAACTTGAACATGATCAATTTTTGCAAATGATTCCCAGGTATTTGAAAAAAAAAAAATACCTAGGTATTAGGTATAAAGTTCTATAAAATACCTAAATCAAGCTTACTGTGTTGCCTAAATCCTTTTGAATGTCTACTCAATTCTAAACAAAACTAGTGTTTCATTGGCTAGTTAATAATGTAGAATAACATACTTCTTTCTTCAAAGGAACTTTATACTTAAACATAATGCATAAGAAACTGCCACAAACAGAAACAAACACCAATTCACCAAAATTTTATCTCACACTCTTTTCACAAGCTCACTTTCACATCCACTGAGTAGTGACTAGAACTCACTCACCCAGGGCAAATGGGATCTACTCTCTCCTGAGTCACAGCTTGCAGCTCACTGGACAGTCTCTCTGGGTTGCTGGGGGACCCAGGACCGCCCTAACAGGATGTGTCAAAGACTGACAGGTGCCCAACAAGTTAACACAGGACTACAGTCACAAATACACTCTTGTTGGAAAGGTATGTGGTGCTACTCCTACGCTGAAGTCACAGTTAAATATGCTGTACCCTGAAAAGTAAATGTCAACTAAAAGTTTTCCATTTCTTTTCCCTTTAGTTAAATAATCAGTAAACCTGCAATGATCTGAATTATAAAAGCTTTGTAAAAATAAAAGCAATGTAGTAGAATAGGGAAAAATCAAAGTATTCATTTTAATTTAATTTTTGTGGTAAGAGCATCCAACTACTTCATGTAGTGTTTATTTTAGTGGACTTTGCATTATGGAGTCATCCTAACCCCTACCTTGCTCACCACTTCACACATACTGCATAAATTGCTCCAAAGGTGACTATTCCCTAAAATACAACACCAACAGATGTTACTTCTTGACAGAACGCCATCTACAGCCATCTACAGCTCTCCCAAGAGAAGCTTCCTGAGAAATAAGGATCATGACGTGTTTTCACTAGCATAGACAGAATTATTTTCTGTCAGTGACATAACGTTTTCTAGAATCTAACTTGTTACCACTCTATCTGAAGAACAAGAGCTTCGACAAGGCACTTGTTTTCAAAACCTAATGATTTAAAATCAAAGACACATTTTAAAATTCTTCAAAGTCTTCAACTCAGGACTGTCCACTGGGATGAAAAAAACACTACTGCTGGCAAATTATCATGACATAATGTACTTCCCTGAATCTAAGATACTTTTAGAGATACTTAATTTACAATGATTCACCATAAACCAAAAGATATATACACTGTAATATCATTGAAATTGAGCTATCTCTTCTGAGTCAATGAAAACCAACAAAAGAACAACCTTCAATGCAATCCAGTTTGGCAATGGTTTTTCTAATAGACTGAAACATCCAAGCAAAAATACAATAATCAGATCAATATAATAGATAAATCCTGGAAATGTGAAAACTGAACTAAAGAAAGTATTGAAGGAAAGCATGCTGTGCTCTCAAAAATCTTTCAAGACAAAGTTTATACTTTAAACATTCCACCACTATGAATTTTAAATAGATAACTATCTCACAACTAATAAGATAAAAAGGCATTCGGCATCACTAATTGCAATTCACTATCTAATTATAAGTGCCCATCTTGGAGAAATTATACCAGAAACAAATGTAGAAATTGGCCAATGACTTTAAGTCAACCACTACTAGAATCCTAATTATGACTAATGCTTATAATGTGGTGGGTTAGGTTGTCTTTAGAATAAGGTAATAGTGTACCAACTTCTTAGTTCAAGTTTCCCTTTGGTTATTAGTTAAAAACAAGTCTAGGGGAGTACTTAAATACATACATACACATCACCACTATCATCACCACCAACAAACACCCTATTGAGCCTGAGAAAATAAAGCAGAAAACAGATTAAGAGCAAGCTAGAATTGATTCTAAAAGACAAATCCCCATATGTGAAAAGAAAGTGGTCAAATTGTCTAGGCCAAGTCCAAACAACTCTGTTCCCTCCTCTTTAGTAAGCCACAATCATAGACAATTGGGGGGGGGGGGGGAGGGTTGAGGGTGGCAAAAACAGTAACTTGAGAAAGAGGACATTCTGGTAAGCAAAGGAAGTCACTCCTTCTGGTTTCTCCAATGATGAGGCAGCTGCTGGCCCCCACTCAGTGATTTAATGCAGCTGATGCCAATTAGCATTTTGGACTCTAACCAGTGGGAACAAACTCTCATAGAAAAGGTCTTTGTCTCAGACTGGGGTATGACTGGGCTGGAGTTTTCTGTTACTTTCTCTGAGTGCTAGAATGGAGGGAGGGAGAATATCTGAATAGTGGTAATTTTCTACAGAAGCTAAGGACCTGTAAATGAGTCACATGACAAGTCTCACCCACTCCACCATCTGAGCACATCTGAGTGCATGCTTTTAGAATTGTTTTTAGTGGCTTCTTAAAAAGTTTAAACTCTTGGTTACCTAGATTCCCTCTCCTTCCACGGATGGCAGTTACCATGTGAAGCAAGACAGGCAGCCTCCAGATTAATTGGGAGGATCCTAGAGGATTGGGAGATGAGCTAATCCATCCTTCTAACCAGTATACTCTTGGCAGAATTATGACTATCTATTAACAGCTGGACAAAAAAGGGACAATTTTCTATTCACTCTATCTTTGCTAGTTGAAGAGAGAACTAATAAAATGAGATAAGCAAATAACTGTCAGGTTTCACCGCCAAAGTGTGTATGTGAAC